AGGTGGGGGGCACAGCATGGGCAAGGACCAGAGTCTGGAAAGAACTTTATTTTTAAAGGGGATAGAGAGTAGCTAGGGATTACAGGGATGGAGGACAGGGAGAACAAAGTCAGCCGGAGGCCAACACCAGCTCAGGCAGTCCTGAAACATTCCAGAAAGTTCCAGAACATCGTGGAAGGCTACACAAAGGCATCTACACTCAATCTTGCAGGCGTGGGGAGGGAAGCACTAAAAGAAATGTGATCAGATTTGCATTCTTGAACAGTCATCAATCTGGAAACCATGTGGAGGACAGACTGAAGTGGGTGTGGAGAAAAGAGAAACAGGAAAATCAATTAGGAAGGCATCGCAATTCAGCAGATGACAAGAACAAGAGGTAATCTGGTTAGTGGCAGTGTGGGTAAAAAGGAAGGAGCAGAGCATATTCAAGAGATGTTTTATAGCATTTTTACTATCAAGACAAGACTTTACTTCTTGCTTGTCCAGGGAATTTTTGGCATCCCAGCATCCTGGAATGCAGGAAGCTAAAGCTCTGACTTTCTCTAGCAAATGAGACAACCACAAAGAGCCCTGTTTGTTGCTTGATTGGCTAGAATTTGGCACTCAGTAAAGGGAGGAGATCACTGGCTAAAAGACTACATAGCTGGGCATACACAGCCACGGCAGCAAACAGCCTGGGCTTCTGAGTGCCATACCTGCCAGACCTCTTAGGCAGAGCGGACCCTACACTTGGCTAGAGCAAGTCACTGCTCTGACAGGGTCATCTCCAACTCCTCCCTGTAGTCCCAGAGTTGCTGCATCTGCTAGAGTGGCCAGCCAGAGGGAGGGGGGATCCCAAATTAATCAGAAAGGTGATGGAGACTAGTCAGAGGGACCTCAGTTCAAATCTTACCCCCCACCTAAGGGACAATGGGCAAATGAATACAATGTCTCTGGGCCTTGATTTCTCTGTTGAAAATAAGAGGAAAAGATCAGCTCCAAAAGATCACAGAGCAGACAATTCCTATCTTCTTTCTTTGCAGCCTTCATCATCAGAAAGGCCATGCCTTTGACAGCAGACAGGGAGATCAGGGGAACTTTTAAGTGGTGAACATCTGGGTGAAAAGTCTCAACTATTATCTGTTTGTGTAAATGAGGAAAGTAATCAGCTCTCTGGAAACAAGTAATAGGGGGGCAGATCAGCACCCCACCCCATTCAGGACCGGCTGTGCACCCCAAGGGCGACCCTCTGACACTGAACCACCAAGCTGTGCTTCGAATCAAATCAAAGTGATCTATGATGACAAGACCATCCGTCCCTGCTGCAAAGCACAGCAGCACCATGACTATGCTTTGGACACCCGGTCACAGCACCTCACACAGGGTCACAGCAGCTCACAGCTGACTGAGCACTTGAGGAACACAGCATCTCATTTGATCCTCATCAAAAACTTGTTGGTACTAATATCATCTCCACTGTAGAGACAGAAACCAAGGTTCACGGGTGAAGGAAGCCGCACGCGCTATAGCACCAGCTTCATCCCCCCACCACCCACCAGCCAGAAATCCACGACTTCAGGGTCATAGATTAAAATGCCCAGTCCCAGCAGGGTCCCTGTGGGGAGGAGGGCTGGGGCTCTTCTCAAGGACACCTCACCTCTTCTGTTTCAGAAGGGATCTCAGAAGGCCATTCAACTAGCCGTGCCCTTCTCCTTTATACAACTTTCAAAGCTCTTTTCCCAAGGACCATTTTATCTGGGTAGTGCAAGGTAAGGGAATATGGATATTTTAAAAAAGAAAAGGCAGACCTAAAACCCAGCAATGGAAGGCAATGTCAGCTCTGGGACAGGGAAAGAGAGTAAGATCACCCTCTGTAACAAGCAGCCAGCAGCCCAAAGACTGCAGGTTCTCTCTGAGGTCCCAGGCACCTCGGCTGACACAGCTGTAACTGGGCTCATGTCACCAACACAATCACCAGCAGGGAAGAGAAAGGGCTCAGAGAGGACGCCTCTGCTGAGCAACCCCAGGAGCACCAGCCAGAGACATTAAGGGAGGGACAGTCAATCAGATGCTCGGCTGAGAGTCCAGCAGACCTAGGTTCACACCGCAGCTCTGCCACTGACTAGCTGCCTTGATAGAGTAAGCTACGCAGCCTCTGGATGCCTCAGTTTCCTCACCTGTGAATGGGGGAAGACAGACACAAAAGTGCTTAGCACCAGACCCAGCAGACTGTTAACACTCATCATCAGCTACCTCTATCAGGAAAATTCCAAAGCCAGGTATCTGTGAAGGCAGTTAAAAGTCAGACTTGTTTACCGTGGTAAGATTCGTAAACCAGGCATGGTGGCGCCCACCTGTAATCCCAGCACTCAGGAGGCTGAGGCAGGGGGATCGCTGCGAGTTTGAGACCAGCCTGGGCTACAAAGTGAGCTCAAGGCCAGCCTGAACTGCATAGCAAGACCCTATCTCAAAAAGACAAAAAAATGAATAGGATTCTTAATGCAGGGCACATTTACATGACAATTCCTAAGGTACCCGTTTGTTCTCACAATACAAACACAAGCAAGGCAGGCATGGCAGGACCTCACTGGCCTTGGAGCTCTTTTCTGGACCTCACACATTCCAGGGAGGCCAAGAACAGGTCAACTGCCAAGCCACACCGTGCATCATGAACTCCATGAGTGGCCTGAGCAAGCTACGGAGGGGCTCACAGCCTGAGGAAGTAAGTGAGGGAGGAGACCTGGGCCACAGGTTGGAACAGGAGCTGCTCTCCAGGCCTGGGGCAGCGGTGACACAATTTAAAGATACACAGAGACATGCATGTGCACACAGTCTCCCAGGCCAGACACGCTCAACCTGGCAGAGGGGGGACCCATTAAAAAAAAACACAACAGAGAGGCAGCAGGCCACCAACCTCCCAAGAAATCAACTGACCACAGAATCGATTAAGTGCCACGTGACCTCCCTGAATAGATGCATTGGGAGGCACTTACTGTGTGCCAGGCCAGTGCTGGGCATCCCAGTCAGAGTATCTTCCTTTATAAATATGAACCCAGAGGTCAGCGCACCAAGCTAGCACCACCCAGCCAGTCTATGTCAGAGCCCACACACACACCAGACCCTGTGCTGCCTGGAGACCACCCTGCCCCAAACTCCAGGCTCAGAGGTGAACCCTTCCTGCTGTGCTCCACCCCATTAATGCAGTACATAAACCCAGGCAGGTGCCCACGAGCTGCTCTGCCACCGGACCAGGAGGTAGCCAGAACTTTCCAGAAGGCCTGGGGCCAGCAGACCTGGGAGAAAACCTACCAGCCTCAGTCCGTCCCCTCCCTCAGCAGAGAGTGGACTCTGACTCGGGCCTGCAAGCCACATCCCTCTCCTTCCTACCGATTGCGATTAAGAACCACAGCCAGGCCTATTATTAGTTCCTCGATCACAAGGGCTCTGTCTCGGCCTTCTGAGGTGACAGTGCACAGCAGAGACTGACACACACTCTTGCGTAACACCCGGTTTCGCTCACACTCAGACCTGAGACAAAGCAAGCAGCAGGTGCAGTGTCCCAGGGCACACCGCGGCCAGCGTGTCCCAACGGGACAGCCCATACCTCAAGCCACGCTCCACCAGGCAGGACAGCACATGCCTCACGTTCCCATTCCCCAGTGACCCAGATACAGTGCTCCCATTAACACTCCAGGTGGAGGCCAGCTCACCTGCACTGAGGGAAAACCAGGGGAACCCCAAAGGGCTTTGCAACTCCTGCTCTCCAGTCTGCAGAGCTGGCCCCAACCGAGGACCAAGATAGCCAGCCGGGGCTCCTGGCAGGCCTGGACCCCCTGAAATATCTTTAAATCCTAGAATGTTCTAAGACGAGAAAGGCTTCCAAAGTTATCTCACACCAATAGGTAAATAACTGTGAGGAAACTGAGACCCAGGTGGGGCAGCAACTTGGTCCACCTCACACAGAGAGTCAAAATGCAATGTGAGGACAGACCCTGGGTCCCTGGCTCCTGTCCAGCGCCCTTCCCCTTACTGGAAGGCAGGGGTCCCAGGTTCAAACTGCTATCTGAGCCAACGGTGTCACTGGTCTGTCAGTTAACTATTTTTATTTAGCAAGCCAGGGACTATTTTAAGAAATGTGTAATTGCTAACTCATTTCATCCAAGGTCAGAGCTATTACAATTCCCACATAGGGGTGAAAGACCCAGAGAAAAAGTAACTGTCGAGGTAGGATGTAAACCTGGCCAATCACCCCACAGTCCCCCTCAGGAGAGATGCTGGTTCTAGGCTGCGGCCCCTGGAGCATCCACAGGCCCTGAGCAGGGCAGAAGCCAAGCCCGGGCAGCTGCCATCTCAGTGGCCCCTGTTAGTGGATGTTTTGTCCTAAAGTTCCCCAATAACACAGAGCGGGTTTCCCAGGAAGGGGCCGAGTCTGCCACCTGGCAGAAAATGGAGCCTGGTGCTCACTGTGATCAGTCCCTACAGGGGCCTGGAGTATGTGACCAGAGCCACCTCTCCGTCTTCAGCTCACTGTCAGGAAAGAGACCTGGCCACCGGCTCGGCCTCCCCTGGCCTGCGGCATGCGCAGCCCCGGCCTGTGAGGAGAGGAGGGACAGGCAGGATGCAACCACACATGGCATGATTCTGCACGCCTGTGTGCGGTCCCCTCGAGGCTCGAGAACTCGGGTTTTCTTCCTGAAAAAGGAAGCCATTTCTCAATATGTTGCTACATACTGATACTGAGAAACACGAAGCAAGAGGCTAGCGGGGCACAGGCCCCAAAGAGAGGTGAGGGAGGGGACAGGGCGGCTATGGGGGCTCAGCTAAAGAAACAGCAAGGAAACAGGGCATATAAACTTGTCCATCCCACAGCTGTTTACAAGAATGACACAGGGAAACCACCCAAGGTCCTGAACAATAGAAGCACAGCTAAGTGGGTTACGGTAAAACCACTTAATAAAGTATTACAAAACCACTGAACACGTTTACAAAAACACAGCAAGTTCTCTGACTTGTTCTTTTGAATGACAAAGACAGAACAAGAGAACTGCATGGCAGATGGCTACAACTATGTAGGGGGAAAAGAAAACCCTTGAACAATCTTTACCTAGAAAACATGTCTGGGGAAAAAAAATAATAAACACCCTGCAGAAATGTCAACCATGAGTGAGCTGAGTGGGAAGGCTACACACAGGTAATCGTTTTCTTTCTCCTATTTTTCTGTGTTCTGAATGTTCCCTAATTACCATGTACTGCTTTTATAAGACCATTACGCTAATGATACATTTTAAACTGTCAAAGAGGCGGTGATTCTCTTCCAGCAGGGCAGAGAGGTCGGGTGGCCTGCCACCAATGTCCTACTTGAAGGACAGCTGTGCTCGGCCCACATCTGGCCTTCCCACCACAACTGGCCTCCGTGGTTACTCACCTGCCCTGCTGGCTCTGGGGGTACAGCAGGACCTCACTGGCTCAGAAGGGAAAGAGGAGGGCAGGAAGAAAACAAGGGGATAAAACAGCATTAGACTCCCTTTGCTGAAGTGTGAGATGTTTTCTAATTCGGTTTTCTTTTTTAAGAACAGTATGTGTCCATCTGTCCGTCCATTCCGGAGTATAGAGTACCAACCGGTTATCCAGCGTAGTGCTATGCCTGATCCAGGGACACAAGACATGAGTAAGACCATTTCCAAACCTAAAGACCTGGGCTAGGGATTTAGCTCAGTGGCACAGCGCCTACCTGGCAAGCGCAAGGTCGTGAGTTCGATTCCCGGTACCAGGGGAAAAAAAAAAAAAAACAACCCTAAAGACCTTGGATTCCAGAGGGAACCAAGGGTGTGGAGCTACAGTGCAAAGGGGTGTTTGAGAAAGGAGGCTGTTGTGGAAATTCAGAGTGAAATTAACACACCCACCAGGGAAAACAGTGGTGTCAGGAAAGGGCGCATGCCACAGGTGAGCTTTATACTGGGTGCTGAGGAACCGATGGGATTCAAGGAAAATGGGCTGCTCATCTCAAAAGAAAGTTACAGATGCAAGCAACCGTCACACATCTCTCCACAGTACTGACGAACACGGAAATACACAGTGAAAATAAACGGGCAGAGACTTGCAGTGACACTGGCAGGGTGGGACACTGAGCGGCCTCCCTGGACCGTGGCTCAGGCGCTCGATGCCATCACAGAAGCTGAGTGGCACAGCCTTGCAGCCAGCAACTCCGAAGCCTGAGGTGACTCCCAGAAGTGCAATTTAAGATAGCCAACCATGGGGAAGTAGGTAACTACATGCTGGTGTGTCTGTGACTTAACTATGAGGCAACTGAAAGAAAGTCCCATCTGAGAAGGACAACGACAGGAGACAATGTCCATGACAGTACACACATCAAGCTAACAACTCAGGATAAGAAAGCTGCATGCCATTTTGACTTTAAAGGATGTTTTTACCTTTTTGTATTTTCTACAAAATGTCCCATTTTTATAACCGTAAAAGCAATGCTACTTAGAATGACAAAGTACTAACGAGAGCTTTGGTGGAAGGAGAAGCAGGCACTGTAGGTTTAGAAAAAAGACAGGTGAGACCTGAAGCGGCGCACACCTGTCATCCCTGCACTCTGACAAGCTGAGGTAGGAGGTTTCCAAGTTCAAGCTCTTCCTGGGCAACTTAGCAAGACCCTGTCTCAAAATAAAAGACTTTAAAAGGCTGGGGACACAGTTTGAGGCGAAGGCCCTGGATTCATCCCAGTACCACCAAAAAAAAGACGAGGAAGGAAAGAGAAAAACAGAAGAGGCCAGAAGGAAAGAGTAACGCAGCTCAGGTCTGTGCTGTGGAGAAGAAACAGCCAAACTTTGGGGTTAGAACTTGGTTCAAATCCCAAGTCCTCGGTTTTGTGATCTTTAACAAATTACAGAGCTCCCTTGAGGGCAGAAGAGTCCGTGTATTAACTCCTACCAAGCAACCTGATACACCAGCCCAGCGTCCATTAACTCTTTTAGGAGTTAATGAAATCAGAGCCCGTTCTATTGACCAATATAGCATAATCCATCCTGGATGTACCCGGGTGAGATAGTAAGAATATTCATTTTTAAGATACACCATCTAGCCAGGTGTGGTGGCACACGCCTGTAATCCCAGCACTCTGGAGGCTGAGGCAGGAAGATCGCTGCAAGTTCAAGGCCAGCCTGGGCTACAAAGTGAGCTCAAGGCTAACCTGAACTGCACAGTGAGACCCTGTCTCAAAAAGAGAAAAAATAAATAAATAAAAAATTAAAAAGATACACCATCTATGTCCTAATATCATGTTGGAGGAACGAAGTTGTGTTGCATAAAGACATTGTACAATGCACCCCAATTTCTGAAATACTGAACTATGAAATATATCCAAAAATCGAGAAAACATGAACTTACCTCTTCTAAAGGTGGTAACAATCAGGATAAAGCATCTGATCAACGCCCAGATGTCAGCATTGTTCTCACACTTCTAGGGTCTGATCCGTGCCCACAGAGGACCCACAGTCAGGGGCAACCCGGGGCAGACCCGTGAGGCGGCACCTTCCATGGAGAGGGCTCTGGAGCACACGGTGCTGCGCCCGCAGCTCGGCCTGGCACCTCCCCGTGAGTCTGTGCACCTTGCCATGCAACCTGGGGTGTCCCTCGCCCCACCGCCTCATCCTCTCGCAGCTGAAAAGTGCACCAGGAACACCAAGGTCAGCTGCCCCAAGCAAAAGAGGCTGCACCTCAGAAAAGCTAAAGATTTAGCAAGAATGCTTCGGGAAGGAGAAATACAAGCTCAGCAACCAAACTGGAACCCATCGAGAGCCGCACCCCCTGCTAATGCTAGGCTTTGGCAAACGCTGGGAGACAAACCCTTAGAGAGGGAAACAGGAGACTCCGCTCACGCCCTAACTAAAGATAATCACAGCGGCTAATCCGTACCGTGGTTCTCATCATGGGCCAGGCGCGGTTCCAGGCGCTTTGCGTATGGTAACTCATCTATCCTTCCAATAGAGGAAGATGTACAGAGAGAGAAATGAGCTCACCGAGGTCAGAGCCAGAACCCGCCCATACAACGCCTTTGCACAGGGAGAAAAAAGCGCGGCCTTACACGGGCCACACGCCTGGCAATGGGGGTGGCCTGGGCCTCAGAAGCCTCTCACCCCTTGACAGCAAGAGGCTGGTGAAAGGCAGAGGTGTGATCTGAACGCAGCCCACCTCGCTCCCAAGTGACAAATAGTAAATGGCCTGAAAGTTCACGAAAGCCGAAATACACAGATGGGAGTGCCTGAGCATGCCCGTTCTGGTGCCCAGAGTGACCAGATGTTCAGCTACGGTGGGAAATTCCGTCACCATCGCCAGCCGGGGTATTGCTGAGTCCCACCCTTCTCTGCTACTTAAGACACAATACACCCTCTTGAACGTCACCCACCCTGGCCCCACAGTCCCTTGCCCTTTCCTGACCCCCAGCCTTCGGACCGGGGATTCTGACCAACCTGTGTTTCCTCACGCCTGTACCTGCTACGGAGGAAACTCACTGAGAGTCCTGGTTTTAAGCTTCCTTTGGCTAAGCAGCTCTCCACACACTCCGACCTAACTCTTTCTCAGGTGCCAGGGCAGTGGAGGCCACAAGCCTGAACCCCTCCGGTCACCCCAGCAAGGGGGTGGGGGCTCACACCTGACCCAAAGAAACACTTTCCTTCCTGCTCCCCTTCTCCGTCCCTCAACCCCAAAGGTCTTGAGACACCTGCAGTGTGCGTGTCCCCAGGTCGGCGTCCTCACTCCGGCCTCATCCTGCTTGGCCTCACTGAGGCACCTGGCAGCTTCCCAGTTCTCCTTCTACCCTTGGGGCACACAGCAGCCTCCTCCCCAGGCCTCCAGATCAGAAACCCGAAGCCCTAGCCCTCTAAAGAGCTCTATACCCAGCAGCCCTCCAACTCCCAAGTGCCTGGCTGGCCCACATGGCCCAGGCATTTCCAACTCAACAGATCTGAGTCTAATTCATTCTCTCATCTTTCAACATCTCCAAGCCTCCCAATTCCCATTCACCTTTCTTCCTAACAGAACGCTGATGTTCAGCTGGCCTAGTTCCACCCTCCCTTGCAGTGTGGTGTAGTTCTGTGACTAACATCTGAAAAACAACATGTCATCAGAACTGCCATAAAATGATTTCAAAAGGAATAAAGGACACTTCCTTCTCCAGCCTGTCATCATCCTACCGCCTGGTAAGATGATTTGATGGCTTCTGCTCCAACAGCCATCTTGGAACCTGAGGACAAGGGATGACAGAAGGATGAGCTGGAAGGAATCTGACTTCCCAATGACTGTGGACCTACCACACCAACTTTAGGGTTCCTACCTCCAGACTTCTTTAGTGCACGAGAAAAAGTAACTTTGCTTGAGCTACTGTTATTTGAGCCTCATTTCTAATACAGAAACAATATTCTATCCAAATAGATCTCCTTTTGCATCCCTTGTCTTGGTCAATAACAACGTTCCCTACCAGTAAATCCCCCTGCTCTTTATTTGCTAACTTTCCCCACTAGATTATAAGGAATTTGACGTCAGGAGCATGGCTCTCATTTTCTTTAAATAAAATATTCCAAGCAGACAAATTTGGTACCCTTCCTGTCTAGGAATTCATATTTTTTGCAAGCCAGGCATGGTGGCTCACACCTGCAATCCTACCACTCGGGAGGCTGAGGCAGGAAGATTACCTCAAGTTCAAGGCCAGACTTGGCTACATAATGAGTTCAAGTCCAGCCTGAATTACAGAGTAAGATCTTGTCTCAAAAAAAAAAAAAAATTGTATTTTTTGCTACATGGTTTTGTTTGTTCGTCTTACACGACTACTTTCTACTAATCTTTTTCTTAAATGTAGGTGGGCCAATTCTCAAAAGGAAAATGTAGCACTTATTGATATATTTACCAGCCCACAGGCATTTAGGTTGCCTCCAGCTTTTCATAATCACAGGAAACGCTCCAATGCACATCTCTGTCTGTTTATGCTTGAGCAACCGCATGGAAGTTTTTCCAGTACCAACACTAGAAGTAAAATTTCTGGGGGTGTAGAGGATGCATCCTCAGCTTTACCAGATACAGGGAACAGCCTGTTGGTTGTTGTACCAACCCACACCCCCGGGTCCATGGGAGCAAGATGCCCCTCCTGGGCAGGGCTGCACTGATTTCTGAACCCCCATAACGGCAGCAGGATGCACCTTGTGTTCCCAACCCTCTGAACGAGCTCCCGCAGAAACACAGGCATCCCTTCAGCCTGAACTGCCCTCCCCGGCCATTACGTGAGGGTGGACAGCCCTGCAAAAGGTGATCAAGCTGGCCACAGACTCAGAGCAGCTGCATGTGTCACTCTCGGCACACAGCGTCTCCCTGCCGCTGGGAAACAGACTCTGCCCCACCACCACCACCACATGCCCACAGCACTCGGGGATAAATCAGTCCTTCGCATCCACCACCCCTCCAGCTCACTCACATCGCACCCACCCTCTCAAGCCTCCCCAAATACCACACGAAGACATTTGAAGGTGTCAGATTCTCTCCAAAGCCCCCCCTCTTCTTACACAGCACGCAGGCTTCCAAAGCAGCGTCTCCTGATAAAGGAAAGTCCCAGGCAGAGAGAAAGGCCAACTTGTTTATTTCCAAACACAAGGCTGATCCCAGCTGTGACATGCATACTAGAATTGCTCACAGCCCTACAAAAGCCAGCTGGGCGGCAGGCTGGGGAGGGGGCTGGAGCAGCACGGATCTCATCAGAGGAGGATCTGAGGCTGTTTATTTTTAGGTAAGCCAGCATGGCCAGGATCAAGTTCACAGCCCCTGCCCGGCCCAGTTTTCCTAACTATGCCTGGCCGCTATTTTTCAACTGAATGTGTTTCAGATGCAGAGGGCAGCTGCCTCCACCCACGGGACCAGGGGCTCGGAGAGAGGCAGACTCTCCTCCAGCTTAGGACTCACGGCCTGGCACCCACCCTCCAGCGCCACAACATTTACCGGACACTGGCTCTGTCCAGGCGCTAGTGCGTGACAATGGCCCTAACCAGGAACTGGCCCTCTGAAGCAGAGAGAAAAACAAAGGCTTGTGACGCTATGCAAGAAGTCACAAGGGTGAATAATGTGCGAGACAGGGCTGGGGGTAGAGTTCAGTGGTGGGCCACTTGCCTGGTGTGGCTCTGGCTGTGATCCCCAGCACTGTGAAAATGAGTGAGGGAGTAAGGGAATGAATGAATGAATGAATAAATGGTGCACAGCACAGAAAGGAGCACAGAGGGCAGGAAGATTAACCGCTAATGAAGCTTGGTCCCCTCACCCTCACGGGTGCTAAACAGAACTCTTATTAACAGCATACTCCCAAAGGCCGTCCTTCCCTCAGACAGTGCCCACGGGAAGTAACACACTCTGGAAGGAAAGCCTCGCGCTGCACAGCAAGGGACCCGGGGTCCCGACCTGACCCACCGCTGTGAGAGCACCTCTGTCAACTCATCGTCCTTCTTACGGACAAGCTGAAGGGTAGGAACGAGCAGCTCCAAATGATCCTTTCAGCGCTGGCTCGGGCACCCGAGCCAAGGTTCTCAAGCCTGGCTGTGGACCAGGGTCACCAGGAGGGCGGATAAACAAAGATTCCCAGCCAGGCCCCACCCAGAAATACAGTCACTTGCTCTGGGTTTTAAACACTGGTATGTCTGAAAAGCACCCCAGGTGATTCAGACGTGCACACGGGGTTAAGAATCAGCATCCTGAACAACGTCCCTGGTGGTGGCAGCCACCAGGGCCTGACAGTTGGGAATCCTATCTTACAGACAGGCTCCAGACCTCCCTTGACAAGAAGCAAACCAAGTTTGCAGGGGTGTAGTGACTTCCAGAAGACGCCCATGAAGAAGACAGGGAATCACAGCATCTCCCAAGCCCGCCGGGTCTCCCTGCCCGCAGCCTGTCAGCTCCCCCGTTGGGGAGCTTGCTTGCTCCTTTTGTCCATGAGGAGAATGGCAGTAGAACCACAGGGTGCAGGGGGCGTCCTCCGTCTTCCGCTGGACAGGAGGCCCCCTTCCCTCTGGAAAAAAGAGGTCAGCAGGAGCTGGGACCGAGGGGCCCTGGGAAACGTGCGCGGGCACAGCCTGGCCTCCCTGTCCAGCCAAGCGAGCCTCTCAGGGACCTCTTTTGGGCAACGGAGCAGAAGAACAACGGTCCACTGTGACGCCCTGCAGGGAAAAGGCAGCGGAGACAAGGAGACTCTGGGGTCAGCAGCATTATTAGCATTTCATGTATTTATTTATTTCCATTTTATCTAATAAATACTTCAGCGGGTACAGCGCTTGCTATGTGTTTGAAGCCCTTAACTTTCCCAAGTTAACATCCTAGGAGGAGAAAAAAAACTAACTCTCCCCTCTCCACTAGGACATAAACCATCCACAATGTTTACCTACCGCATGCTACTACCATCCACCCTGTAACAAGACACTCCCACTCCCCTGTGCTAGGGGTTAAGCCTCTGCCACTGAGCTACGCCCCCACCTCTTTTAAATTTTATTTTGAAACAAGGTCCTGCTAAGTTGCCCAGGCTGGCCTCAAACTTGCCATCCCTCTGCCTCAGCCTCCAGATTAGCTGAGACTGTAAGCGGGCACCACGCCTGGCTAAGCCGATTTGTTAAAGTCTTCACCCACTGGAAATGAGATGCTGTCCAAGGCTCGGAGTTCCCTGCCTCATTTATGTCTGGATCAAGAACATCTGGCCTGATGTGGAGGCACACGGCCGGTCTCAGGGATGACTGAATCAATGAATGAATAAATCAATCATTTGAACTGTTTGCCTGCTTTAGCTTAAAATGCTTCCTCTTCCTTAAATATGTTCCTGTCTATTTCTGAATCTTCTCATCATCACGACTTGTGAAACCCACACTCACACAGCATGAGACCCAGCTGCAATTCACTCAGCCTTTCATCTTACAAAGGCAGGTTTGATACACACAAGTGGGCCAGGGGGGATTCCTGAAAATCATCTGGCAAAAATCCATCAGTCTTTTAATTCTTCAGGGCAGTAGTGGTGAACCTGTGGTGCTGTTTTTATCACTGAAAGCTCTAAAATTTTTTAGGTTCACCATCACCACTTTAGGATCTTCCTAAATCTAGTTTTTAAGAAAAAAACGAAAGCTGGGTGTGGTGGTGCACGCCTGTAATCCCAGCACTAGGGAGGCTGAGACAGGAGGATCGTTGCAAGTTCGAGACCAGCCTGGGCTACAGAGTGAGCTCAAGGCCAGCCTGAACTGCATAGCGAGACCCTGGCTCAAAAAGACTTAAAAAAAAAAAAAAAAGAACGCATATTTGACAACATTTGTGATTTATTGTTCAATAAAAACTGAAGCAGATTATAGTGCAGGAAGTCCAGAATGGTCTGACAAGCATATTCATTCTTTATGTATATGTGTATGCCAGGGCAAGGGGAAGGGGTTAAGAAGGTAGGTTTTGATTTTGTTTTCTTAGGACAGGGTCTTATTATGTGGTCCAGCTTGGCCTTGAACTCACTATGTAGCCTACGCTGGCCTCAAACTCACAGTGATCCTCCTGCCTCAGCATCCCAATTGCCAGGATTATAGGTGTGTGCCACCACGCCCAGCAAGAACCATTTTTAAAATTTACATTTTTTTCAATTTTTCCATAATGAACATATACAAGTTTTACAATCAGCTATAAAAAGTATAGAACGGAGGAAAGAAGGCAGAGAGGGAGACTTCACTCTGCAGCAAGAAGAGGGAATTAGGGCAAAAGCAATTGAGACATCTGTTTTGATTCCCCAGCACCGTCCCAATAACACATTTATCTCTGTCCTCAGGTCAATACAGCTCAGAATGGCCTCTTTCCAAACACTTTCCCAGCGCAACCTGATCCCAAACTAGACACACTCCCATCGAGGACGATGATGAAAACGATGCCGAAGACAGCAGCCTTCTTACGCAGTCCTCCTGGGCCAGGCCCGGCTCCATTAACGCGTCCTCGTTTACTTCTCACGGTGACTATGAGGCAATCATTACCTCCGCACAGGCAAAAGAACAGACACAGAAAGGAGGTACCTTGCCCAAAGGCACGTAACCACACTTTCTTGATTTTCTCCTCTTGCTGCTGCTGGTAAGGAACAGAACCAGGTTTTCTCCCTGCTGCACTTGGCTCTGCGTTACCAGAGACAGGCGGGGTAAAAACCAGGGGCGCCGACGGTGACAGGAAACTTAGCATTAGGTCAGCCATGTCAAACCCATGGTCCGGCATAGCTCTGATCAGGGATTATGATTGAAAACTCCCTCCCCTCTCTTAAGCATCTATAAAATAACTAATTCTCTTATCCAAACGGCCAGGAGAGACGAGATGCTCTGAAGGGCTCCGCCTGACCTAAAGGAGTCATGCATGCGTTCTCCCTCGCCTCGTCCCTCAGTCTCTGTGCGTTTCTAACCCTCCTCCCATCCATGGGCCACAGAAGGCAGGCATTTGAAGGTGAAAACTTCAAGAGATCAGCGAGGCATGGCGGCACCTGCCTATAACCCCAGCTACTAGGGGGGGCTCAGGCAGGAGGATCCCAAGTTTCAAGGTAGTGTAGGCAACTCAGGGAGACCTTCTTCACACACACAAAAAAAGAATCATGCATCTAGAGTCACACGCACAGAAACCACAAGAAGTAACAGCGACGATGGAAGAAGTGGACATTTATAAAACAAACTGTTCAAAGAGCAGCAGCTTCTGGGGCAAAAGCAACCGCACAACACACGCTTCAACGGAGCTAGAGATTCCCAGCCATGGGGCAAAGGTGGTTAAATGTTTAGAAGGAATCATAGGTGCTGTTTTTAACTAATTAAAATTCATTTTGGCACTTCTAGGAATAACTATCACTTACCAAGGAAATTAACTTTTTATTTGTCTTTTTTTTTTTTTTTTGAGATAGGGTCTCGCTATGCAGTTCAGGCTGGCCTCGAGCTCACTTTGTAGCACAGGCTGGTCTCAAACTCCTCGCAGCAATCCTCCTGCCTCAGCCTTCTGAGTGCTGGGATTACAGGCATGCGCCACCACGCCCGGCTGGAAATTAACTTTATGTAAAACAATTTGTTCCCTTATCATGTTACCCAGTGAGCCCCGGCACCTGCTGCAGTTGTCTCTCCTGTCCTTGCTCTACTTCCTTACCTTTGGAGAGTCCTGATTTTGTTCAAGTAACAATATGCTTGGCTCCCGGGTTGCCTTTAACCAGTGGTTGCCACCCAATCCAGTTTTTAGCCAATGAGATGAGAAGGGAAGTCTGTGCTTGGTCCTTCCAAGGAAGGACAATATCCTCATTAAAAGGATATTGGGCGTCTGGCAAAAATCAACATCTTAACTGGAATGCAGATGTGAAGCCTAAAGATAGAGCAGCCATCTTAACAGCATGAGGCTATGTGCTAGATAATAAAGCCAAAAGACAGCAGGGAACATGGAGCCTTGGGACCACCTACCACTGAAATGCTGAAATGCTTTTGTCATGAGAAAAACACAGTAACTCCTTCTTTAACCCAGTGTTATATGAATTCTGAAATACGAAGCCACAGGAACTCTAAGTGACATATCAATATCACATTATAATTTCAGGATGATAAACATCACTTCTAACATCTTAAGTTTCCTGAAGTCACCTATGTTGTTGTGTTCATCTTTGGGGTACCCCAATAAATGCGGGCTGCCTAACCGTTATTTACTGGGTGCCTGCCTAGCTGCTGCATGTGGCAAAATGCCATTACTTGCTATTGTGTCTTTGCTAAGCTGGCTTGCTTTGCAACTTGGAATTTTGCTGGGAAACAAAGAGTGCTTTATAGCGAAGGCGTTAGTGCCACAATGGGACCTTTCTGCTTTGATTATGAAAACACATTAAGAGCTTAGCTGCACAGCACGCAGTGGCCAGGAGACTGGGCTGAGGCATGCGCCTCCCTGACCACTCTGCACTCCACATGCCGGACAGGTGCCAGGGCCACTCAGAGGAGACACTGAGGCAGACACCAATGCCAAAGAGCATGGGACGCCCAGAACCCCCAGAGGTCTACGATGTATAGGCTGCTCCCCACTCCACTGCCGGACGCCCTCCGCACCAGCTTCTATCACTTGCCTCCCACCACTCAAGGGCTCCACCCACAGCCACCATAAGGATGTGTCCCCTCCCCCACACCTGGCCTGGGGGTGTGTCCTCAGGGGGAGCTCAGAGACAACCCAGACAGCCTGGCAGTCCCACCTGCTAAGCTCCAGGAGCCCTGCTTACAACGCAAAGGTGAAGACTGCATGAGATGCAGCGATTTTACTGCCACGTGCACTGGATAGAGTGTGCACGGGTATCCACATGTGCGCGCACACACACACACACACACAAACAATAGCCTCCAACTGTACACTAACCAAATACTGACCCACAGGAGAACAAATATTTTTTAAATGTGTTAATTTATTCGCTGGAATAATACGCAGCAATGAAATGAACAAATGCAGCTACATGCAACAAAAATGCACGGATTCACACGCAATGTTGAGCAAAAGAAGCCGTATGATCCCCCTTACAGAAAGTTCTAAGGATAGGCAAAACTCAATTTCTGTGTTTAAGGAACACATATTAGTCAGAAATAGCTGTCTTTGAGAAGCAGGGCAGTGACTTCTCTAAAAGTCAGGCTATTGTTACTCTCAGCACAAGGGAAGGGGTGTCGGCCAGGGGGACTCTGGGGTGCTGGCAGGGTTCCAGTTCTTGGTTGCAATGTGCTTACAAGAATTCTCACTTTGTGATAATTCACCCAACTGTATGTTTATGTTTTGCCTAGTCTTCCAAATCTGCATTACATTTGCAATATAAACAATTTTTTTAAAAAGAAAAAGGGAAAAGAGTAGTATCTACATAAAACCCCACCCCACTGTGCACAAGGAGGGCATCTTAATTGAACCCGGATCCTCCGCGCCCCAGCGCCCCAGAACCCTGCGGGGAGCCTGCACCTACCCTCCTCACTCACACCGGTGCTCGGCTTGAAACTGTCGTGATTTGTCGGCATTTCAACCTCTACCTTCCAAAACCAGAACACTCCACCTCTGGAAGGACAGTGCGGGTTTGGGACATACACCTCTCCTGCACGGACTGGTGACAGATGTCTACAATAAGGAGACTGTACTTTGAAAGCACATGGACAGTCACTACAGGGAGCAAGGCTGGGGTCAGGACAAAGGTGACACCCAGACAGCGCTCAGGATGTTGGAAAGGAGGCAAAGCAGGCCAGGACCTGGGCCCCCTCAGCCCCACTCTGCGGGCTCTCACGAGTGGCGTCTGACAGCTTCCAGAAGCAGGCTGTCGACCCAACTCTCCCAGGTGCAGAGCCCAGGTGCCCACAGAGGGGAACGTGGCTTGTTCCGTGCAGGGTGCAGCCTCACCGCCCACCACACCCTTCCCTGCTCCCGCTGGCAGGGCTCCGCCCAGGTGCTCACCAGCTGCCTCCCCAGAAAGGTGAGAGCACCCAGACTCGGAGGGGATAAGGGACCCTTCCGGCTCTGAGACGTCAGTGTGGGACCGTCCGCCCCCTTTGTGGCAAGGGTGGAAGGAACAGCGAGTTTCCAGCCCCAGCCAGCTGCCTCATGCATTTCACAGTCCACCTCTTCACAGCCAACTGCTCCAGGAGAGCCAAACACACTCAGGTCTCTGTGCAGGAGAGAAGAGACCTGCTGCTGCTGCTTGCTTTTTTCCTGAGCAATTGTAAACAGTAAGGGAAGTGGACAGCAAGTGTTTTCTAGCACAGCCAGACAGTTTGCCCAAGAGCTGTGTGCGCACAGGCAAGCTCAGCCCACCGTTACGGCTGTGCCACCCACTGTCAAGACGGCTGTGAGTACCAAGGGATGAGCAGGCCACTCTGTGACTTATAAGGCGTGCATCACCTTGGGGCCGAGCAGCTCTGGACAATGCGCTAAAGCCGGCACGCAGGATGCTCAGAGGATTAGAAGGCATTTGCTGCAGAAGTGAGCCAGGAGATGGTAATACACACTTTGAAGAGACATTAAAAAGCATTCTCTCTGTAGCTAAGCAGGTCACACTACCACCCAGACATTCAGGAAAGTAAGACAGGGACTGAGCCCCGGCTATCAACCCACCAGGCACCTGGCATCTCACGCCAATCATCTCAACAATCCCATTCTACAGACAAGGACACCGAGGCTTGGGAAGGTTACGCTTCCAAAGTTACCTTCAACTCAGGCCATTCAGCTACTCATGGGTAAGGTTTGGATTTCTGCAGTTTCTACATTCTCTTCAATTCTATTGCGCCTGAAAAATGGCCACAAAACTCAGCAAGATGACTGCCCGCACTGATATCACTATGTCTACTGATAACCAAGCTTTTTAATAAGTTCTCAGTCCTTGGGATGCTTCAGGATGTTTGGTCCTCACCAATATTCCCCTTTGACAGATAGGGAAAACTGAGCCCTGCAGAGGAGGTGGAGACTTGCCTGAGGTCCCTGAGACAACCTTGCAGGAAAGTGGCAGTGGAGAGGCGGCCCTGCCTTCCGCAGTACCGTTAGGGATGGTTTTCCCGACTGCTGGTTCTGCCACCAGTCACAGCTTTCAGAAAGCAGGATGGGAAGTCCACAGAAAAAGGGAGAAAGCACAAAAGGTATCTCGGGCAGGGGGCTACAAGCCAAAAGCAAATGGCCCAGGGGGATTTATGTCCAAACAGCAATTGCTCTCGTGTCCCCAGAATGCGGAGAGGAGGGGCAAGGAGAGGGGCTGACACTGCAGGTGCTGCCCTCGGGCCCTGAAATTAAGATGCTCTGATGACCACTAGCTGGGGGCCAAACTGCCCCATCTGTGGCCCGCAGATAAGCAGGCAAGGCCAAGGCTGGGTTTCAGCCATCCTCCCCCAGGACACGCCTCACAGAGGGCTCCAGCCTCTAACAGTTTCTGGGTGACTTTAACCTTGGCCCGGGAATCAGGGCTGCAGGCAAATGTCAGAAATGCTGGGCATCAGGCTCTCCCCACTCCCCCAGCTGGGGACACAGAGGGCCCTCAGGACTGGCTGCCGGCCCCATGGCACCCTGATTCTCCACAGATCTGTTCAAAACTCCCAGCCAAACTTAACACAGCAAAGAGGCCCGTGGAGACAGGGGCACAGGTCCTTTCTGCAAGACGGGACCCTGCATCTAAGCCGCCATGCTGGCCTTGTCCACACCTATGAGAAGGTGTCCGGCTTCCTTGTTTTCATCAGGATATAGGGTGGGAGAAGCCAGGCATGATGGTGCACACCTGTAATCCCAGCACACAGGAGGCTGAAGCAGGAGGATTGCTGTGAGGATTGCCAGCCTGGGCTACACAGTAAGTTCAAGGCCAGTCCAAACTACATAGAAACGTGTCACCAAAAAAAAAAAAGGAAATAGAGGAGCTGAGGAGTATTGTATAGAAAGAACAGGACCTTGAATCCAATGAAGGGCTAGCTACTAGCCCTTGTCACTTACTAAACAGCAGGACTCCAAGTCAGCATATTATTGCTGGGGTCCTCAGTGATCCTCATCTGCAAAATGGGGAGCATGGCACCACCCAGTCAGGTGGGAAGACTCAGCAGGACAATGAAGGACCCAGCCATGGGGCCAGCAGGCCACAGGCACCCAATCAACAGCTGCCATTATTCTAATGGCCCAAATCCAGGACTCCAGCCATGGCTCATACTTCTTCTGCCAGGTTTGATACCCCTGAGGTTGTGTTCATGCTCCCCAAATCCACCCTAAACCAGCCACTCCACCCCAAGAGAACTTCTGTTCCCAACACCCCAGAGGTATCTCCAGGGTGTGAACACTGCACCCCAGGTTACCTGCTCCTTCCTAACCCAAGTGGCAGGTCCAGGG